CAGCATATTGCCAGAGACAATTCCGGTTTGAGTCTAACGAGAAAAGGGGACGCCACTTGTTTCTTAAGATGGATCATGTCCGTGATGACCGACAGTACTGTCCAAATATGTCATCAAAAAGCGATGGGAAGTAAAACTATGGGAAGGAGAATCTCTACGGTCATCCTGAACGTGTACCAGAGTAGTGCAATCGAAAAAGAGAATGGCTCCACACAGTCTCTAGAGAGTCACGGGAAACTTGACGAAATACGGAGGTTCTACAACAAGAAGTTCGAGGAGGGGCATGACGTGCATCGTAATTTAGCCCGAGCTGAAGACAACTCGAAACCCACAAAGCGGGGAGAATATCAGTATGTGTCTGGAATAATGGGGATAGCATACAACCCTTTCTTGGATTCGGAGGCCGGGAACGCCCACAAGAATTATGAAGTGGCAGAGCTGTTGAAGTTCTGACAGAGAAGAAAATTGAGATTGACACAGTGGAAAAGGAAAGGCCGAGCCTAGGCCTGACACTTGAGAAGATACCAGGAGTGATTAGCGTGCCGCGCTCGAACAAGAGGGTAGAATTGAAAATGGGAAATGGAAACGGCATGCTGATTACGAATTTGGGGACAGTTTGGAAGTTGCTGAGGTTTTCCTGGCACCCACATCCCCGTGCAAGTTTGATTGAAGTCACGGAGCGAGTGAGACTGTCACCAACGAGGGATGAGGACTTGGGGAATCTGAATGTGGTACGCAAACTGATCCTACCCCATAGTTAAGAAGTCAGAAGAAACAACGAGCAAGCTAGATAAATCAGCGAAGAAGATGGAACCCGGTAGTTGTCTGGACCTGATGTGAGAAAGTGGAGAGCATTCTTGCGATGGACGATCCTGTGTCACGATACATTCCTTCCAGAGGGAAGACTTAGCCACTTGGTTTGGTGACGTCACAGAAGGAAAAGAGCGAAGTACAGATAGTGGCTGAGTGTTACACCAACACTACTGTAAATATAGCAACGGCGTTGGGGTTCTTCAAGGATGTGCAGCTTGAAATCGCTGCAGACGCTGGAGTCCGAGCACCATTTAGTGACAGCGTTGAGCGTGGAGTCATGGCCTGGGGCGTTGCAAATAACCCAGAAACACAGCAGAGGGTGGAAGATTGGTCTTGAGGCGGAGATGGGATTTCCCGTGAGTAAAGCCTATAGTTTGCCAGTGAACGCGAAGTCCCTAGTGAGATCGGTGATGGCCAAACTGTGTGGAAGCCACTACCCATTACACATGGCAATGGTGGAGGTATCCAGTCAGAGGATACTAATCGACAAAGCCTTCTCGATACCGAAGTGCGTACGCATGGCTCGAATGTCGCATCACTCGCACAGACTATTGAGAAAGATCCTGGGAACTGTACCGGGGGAACAAAGAGAACAATTAAGTGATATCTGGGGGGAGTTTGAAAGAAGAGAACACGATTGATTTCGAGAGGCAGAACACGATCGGGAAACCGATGAACAGTGCCCCAGCCCTGGAGGAAAATGATGTTACACCCAACCTCCGGAGTATCAACCTCACACATGGAGAATGCCCGTGCCACTGTCTGGCACAGACGGTGTGGTATCTGGAGCACTCGAACCTCTGCTTGATATGGGACGTGGATGAAGTTCGGTCAATCGGGTTACCGACAGAAGGTCACCCTCCTAGTAGTGAGTTCAATGCTGGCATTGCGATGGATCGAGGAAAACGTGACGAAATATCGGGAGTCGAAGGCACCGACAGCGGAATCGATACACGCTATTGATTACAGCAGGAGGCTTGAGTTGTTTGAGACTGCGTTCAAAGTATTCGCTATACTTATGGAGGTCAGGCTCGTGTGGAGCCGCATAAGATTCTTCCCATGGTTTCGAGCGACATTGACGTCTTGGTTATACGCGGAGACGAAGGATCACGTGAAGAAGCATCAGAAAGAATATCGACAGTTCCTGACTGAGATAGGGCCGGAAGCCTTCAAGAGACCCTTGCTGACCCATCGTAATGCAATCACTACGGATTGGAAGAGTTGGTACGGTGTCTAGAGATAATAGCAAGCCGAGGGAGTCAATATTGGAGGAGGACTTGGCGAAGAACGTGAGCTTGAGCTTGCATAACTCTTTTCGCTTGAACCGAGAATCCAAAGTGAAGGGTTTCCGGAACCAGGCGAAGAAATTGCAAGAGCAGAGGGAATGGATGCGATCCTACAAACAACTTACTTCTCAAGCCCCAAAAACTTACTTCTCAAGTCAAAACTTATTCATTTAAACTCCTCGAGTTAGATATAATTACCCATTTATTCTAGAGCTACTTATTGATTTAGTTGCTCAATCCTAGAGTGTGCCGGTATGTGATTACCCAATTTAAATGTCTTGAGTGTGTTTTATATTGTTATTGTTATGTTGAGGTAAGGAGAGCTTTGGGTTGATCCATCTGAAATGGATCAAAGTTCCACTGTCTAATAAAAAGTAACTATACGGATTGTTCCGACCCTGTTTTTAACGGCGTCCGCGTGTTTTTAGCTATTTTGAGACCTAAGTATGGGGACGTTCTTATTTTCTAGAGTGGGGGGGTGGTATTTTGTTAGTGGCCTTTAAGCTGTAACAAAGGTTTTAGTCTCATGTCGCAAATGAACCGAATTGGCTCCGACCGTTTGAGCTGGAAAAACACAAGAGATAGTGTCCCTGACTCTTGAGCCAATGGTTATAGGGCCTATTTTTCTTTAACCTCATATGTGACTTAAGTAGGCGACTGTTACATTGAACCTTCTGAGATACAACAGCCAAAACCAATATTTTTAAACCAAAAAACCTTTTCACGAAACGTTCTAATTAACTCCCGAAAGCATAAAAACCTTTATAACAATTTTCCAGTAGGCTGGAGAATTGTACTAATTCCAAACTGTGACAAATTATGTTTCTAGATTCATGATATTAAAAAGTTTTTGCTCATAAGTTCTGTGCATTTTGTGGCAATATTCACATCATGTTCTGACATTTTTCCATATTTTTCCGGAATATTGACTAATTTTTACTCAAAACTTTTGGTTGATCAGCTGTTTTTTAGATATGATTTATCCCTAAATCACAATTTTTTAGGGTTTTGCAGTGAAAATCATCTGTAATTCATGGCTGATTTAGCCCTGAAACATTTAGACCTGATCATGGTGGTTTAGACCTGATCATGGTGGTTTAGACCTGATCATGGATAAAATAACCCTGATAACAGACTGAACCACGGACTGTAATCTGATATTTCTGTACTAGTGACTAACTTTTCCGGCAATTACATCTGGGTAGACAAACGAATAAGCCGTCCCAATTTTAACGTAAGAACGTGGAGATATTGTAAGTTTGATCTTTATTTTTAAAGCATTTTCCGTCTTTGGAGCTTCGAAATACTGTGATATGATGACAAAAAATTCTAGCCATTACACTGAGAAAAACAAACCAGGTGAAACTTTGAGATAATACACAACCTATGCAAGTTAGTTTACTAACAATGTCTTCTTTAATATAACTGATATCCAAGGTCAAAAATGTGACAGTTTCTCAAAAACTGCAACATAGCACTGGTTATACGCAATATCGAATTGCTGGTCAATATAGTTTTGGAAAAAATTAAGTGCAGTGGAATCTCTTCAACTTGCCCCCCCCCCCCCCCACACACACACACGCACAAATATAGCAAAAATGGGCAAAGACTCAAAGTTTGCATACGTTCAATTAGTAATGTGCGATTCAAGGTATTTGAGAACACAATTGACTTCCGATTCAGTGCCGGTTTTTACCAAATTACAAAAGGAAATGGTATTTTTTAAAAAATTTTGAGTATTACAAATTTAATACCGAAATCTGAGGGCGGTGAATTTTTCCGAGCAAGCAATAAATTATTCCTGTATACGCTGAAGAATCTTTATTAGTTAAGGTACCATAGGTGGTGGTGGGGGGGTTGTGTTACAGAGATCCGCGAATACTAGAGGCTAGTTAGAAAGCACAACACAAGGTTCATTTCGAAAACAAATAACTCTTCTGTTAAGCAATGACTTATCTCATTCAAATAACAATTTCAATAATTGGCAAAATGAATGAGCACTTGTTAATATGAGGCAATGACGAGGAACTAATTTTTCGACTCCAATTTTAGAACTCAACATGTTGACTTGTTTTTCGTCCATAAACAATAACAATTGACATTTTGTGCCTTTCAGAGACGGAATAAGTGCTCAATAATTCCATCTGTGAACGTCACCAAATGTCAATTGGTTTTGTTATTTGACAAAAAAGAATTCAATTGATTAAATGGCAAAAACTTCATGGCAAAAACAACAATTTCGGATAGTCGAAAAATTTATTTCCTCTTTATTAATGGCTAGTTTGGTTTAAAGTGTGAACGGGAGTTGAGATCGTTGTTACCAGCACAGATATCTTTAACCCCCCCCCCCCCACTTTTGCAAAAAGTGGGATTCGTTACTAGGTGCAAAATTCACATATACTTCACTGTTGATTCAGTTCATTATAGGAGGGGGGGGGGGGGGGCAATTCGTAACTAGGTACTAAGAGGGATAGTTACCACCGGCACAACTCAAGAAAATAAAGAGTGAATAAACTAGAGAAAAGAATATCAGAGTTTTCTATTCCAGGAAAAATAATCAGTTACGACATCCGATTACTTTCTTGGACAGTACCATGTCACATATTTAAATCGGATCCTTAGTTGTTCATACGCCGTACTTAATGAAGAACAATTTTCAAACCCTGCTAAAAATGCTAAAGCTCTTGATAACACAGTTACTATTCAATAATGAAAGCTGCTAGGTTAGTTTAAAATTCTAGTTTTTCAGTAAAAAAAAAACTACTAAATACAGCGTACAAGCAAAACGTGGGATCATCTGCTAAATCATTTGGATATCATTTTCGGTCCATGACGCAAAACGCCTAAAATATGATTTTTTTAAGATTTTCAACAGAATATCGGAAAAGACCAAAATTTATTTAACCGGCCATTATGAACGCAGTGCCAAAACAAGATCCAAATGTAGTGAAAATGTGATCCAAGAAAACTCTACTCAATAGTACTTTTTAAAAAGTTTTCCCTCAAAAACATAGGCGAAGCTCCAAAAAATATATATTACGAAGTCTGGAACACCTGGTTTAGAATCTGTTCTTCTAGCCAGTGATCTATATACACACTACTATCTCCTGAATCGTTAGATTCCTTCCTTTGGTCGTTTGGGTCTTTGTAGTACAGAAGTGTCAAGTCTCTTCTGGGTGATATTCCCTTTCCTATGCTGTCTCGTTTGTTCATCATATTTGTAGCTGACTCTTCGTCTATTGTATCGTGTTGGTCTAAGTTAAAAGTGACTTTAGTTTTGACACCCATCACTTGTTTTTGTACAAAAAAGGTGATATAAGCATAGGTAGTTCATTTTAAAAAAGCGAACAAAAAAGAGAGTCCGTAGCTGGATTCGACTCTGGATTCGCTGGAACTTGTGTTTACCTTATTCAGATTTATCATTCATCTAATATTGCACAAAAACTTAACGTTCAATTTGCATTCCTCATTAAGTTATTCCTTTACGGGGCAACCTTCAACAAGCCTCTCGTTGGCTTTCTGGTTGTCCTATCATGAGTTATTTTTACAATTTTGCATATTGTGTTATGATATTTTGATTACTCATGATGAATATTTAAATAAATAAATAAATAAATAAAGTTGCTATAAAAATTCTGAACATTTTTCCATTATATTGGGCGATAAAAGAAAATTTTTATTTTCAAGTCCGGGATATACAAATACAGACATGTGAAAGATATAAAAACTTTTACAGCCAAGACTTGAAATGGCAACCAAGTAGGTAGTTTGCCCTTCAAAAGGTACCTCGTGAGTAACCGAGTTCTGCAAAATTACTATAATAAGTTTTTATTTTAAAATTACAGAAAATCAATTCCCCCAAACACCTAAAATACCGAGTTACCAAAAAACGCTTATTAACTCTTATATACATTATCACATAAATAAATATACCTTAATTAATGCAGATAACCCTACAGTTTCGACTTTCAATAGCTACCACCTTTACAAGTATAATTTTGTCCATTTGACAAATTTGTTGAACAGAAGTCTAACTCTTTTTTCTCTAGTTTTCGTCCAATAACGATTCCATAATTTTCTTTTTTATGATGATTTGAATAGCTTCATCTGACGATGCTTTCCATTAACTTTTTTTGCCATAAGTTTTAGTAATTGTTGTACTTGCAGTTCGCGGATGTTGCAAAGCTTATGTTTCTTTTTCAGATATCTGATGCTGTCAACTTTAGATAATTTGAAACAGTTTTTCTATATTAATCTTTGTTGTTGTTATTGTTCTATGATCAGACTTAGCACCAGTGCGATAGACCATGACACTGCATCGACAAATAGGTGTGATGTAGGTTTTGTACACTCTTACCAAATGAGTCTTATTGAAAAACCCTATCCCATAATTCATGGATAACAATTTGACGGTCCCTTTTCTATTTTTTCAATATGCTTTTTGAAGTTGAGTTTTCTATCAATAAATACTCCCAAAATGTGATTTCAATTGAGCAGCCCTCAGTGGGCTAATCCTAAAGAAAATCCAAATTCTGTTATATAGATCATTGCATCAGCCCTCCTTGAGCAAACTCTTAAAAAATTCTGTTATACAGATCAAATTTTATCGTGTACCAATTCAAGACTTTTCCTGAAAAAAATGAAAAAACCGTAGCCAACAGGCAGTTCGAAAAGAAACAATAAACGCACGTAAACAGAAAAAAAAAACTGACTTGTTTTTTTATATCTCAACTTTCAAATTTCCAAGAATAAATAGATGGACTTAAAGCTCTTTGAATTTGTAAAACCAATTATGATTGACGCTTGATAAAATTAACCCAATTTGAGAAAGTTGGATCAATAAGTAAGATTTTCATTTCGCTGGAAAATCTAAAAATTAAATTTCAGTTTGGAAGCTAGAATTCGATCACGTTACCCGTGACCCTTTCGATAGTGGAACTTGCCTTCATTTTAAAAAAGAAAACAAGCGTCAAACTGCGAAAAAGTAAATTTGAGCAAACTTGAGACTTTTCCTGAAAAAAGAACGAAAAAAAAATCATCGCGATCTTTATAAAACTCCGAGCTACGCTCACCGACTCTTAAACATATGGAGATTTCCAAACACCGCAGAGGTAATAAACATGTCTCTACCTGAGTTGTTGGTTGATTTAGCACTTGGTGATGATTCTGACTTAGTCGTAGCTATTGTCGAAATTGAAGATGAGTTGCCTGATTGAGTGGCCAATTGAGACAGTTTGGGCCCTGAGCATACTCTCTTCATCACATTCGGGACAGCTGGTTCTGGGTTTGGTTTACTAGTGCATTGTTCAACAGCAGTGGCCCAATTGCGCCTAAAGACAGATCCATAGGTGGAAAGCAATAGGAAACTTATCACGCCGAAAGCAAAGCCAACAGAAAGTAGAGAAACTCAATGAATTCAGGTAAATGGAAAAATCGACCACTGATTTCTCCTCATTTTGAGTTTCACGGAACATATAGCGGTTCGTTCCCAATATCCCCCTTCCGCAAATTACAGTTTTTTGTTACTAGTATGGGAAGCTATTATGGGATCGACCCCATACCATCACCTTAAACTCAAATTAAATACCATCAACTTAAATTTCACGAACCGCTCATGATTGATACTTTTTTGATAAAATTAATCCAGTGAAGAATCTGGATAAAAAATATTTTCCACAAAGAATTTTTTCCTCAAAAAACAAAAATTCCACAAATGGAAACCCCTATTGCCAATTCCACTTTCATATTTGATAGAGACTTCCCAACCCAATCAGATAATTTGTGCAACTTGAAAATCACCAAAAATAAGTTCTTGAAACTGCTACCTAAGTTCGTCGCATCAATGCAAAGTTGCTCGGAAAAAAAAGTATTTAAAAAAGGACACGGCTCGAGTAAATGTGATTCACTTTGTAACTCAACGTTTGAAAATGAAAACGATACTATATAACTCATTTGAAAAAAAACTTGCACAGGTGAAGCACAGCAGAAAAGGTAAGAAAAAAGAACATTCGGCCACTGTGCAAGTAGGTGAAACATTTTGGTTAAAATTTATTTTGTTCAAATTTTGTTTCATGGAGCAAAATTTCAGTGCGCGGCAACTTCAAGATCTAGTCAGTGCAGTGCATGTATTTAATGCACAATATATTCATTTAATTTTCAGTCAATTTTACGTTCTACTAAGACAGTTTTTGTAAATACATTATTCTGTCAGATGAAATAATAATCAAAAATTCAAGTTTTAAGCTTTTTTGCCCAATAAATTGCTTTGAAATAAATCATAAATACTGTTCGAAGTATAGCGGAGAGCGATCTAGCTCTTAAACTTGAATCTGCCGCCTATTGTAATACATACCACAGGGGCGGATCTAGGATTTTCTCCGACGCTTTGGTCGACCTTTTTTTAGGTCGACCAAATTGATTTTTCGAGCTCTCCCAAGCACTATTTTGTCCTTATTTTGGTGAAATTTTCTGCGCCGCAGGCGAAATTTTGAAAAAACAGGCCAAAAAAGCCCCAATAAAAAATTAGTATATATTGGCGCCTAAGGTACCTTTAGAAAATTTTTAGGGTCCATCACCAAAAATGGATATTGGAAAATAGTGCAAAGGGGGGACCCTTTGGGTCGGTAGGGGGTCGAATCCCTGAGGGTGGGGGGGGGGGGGGCGTCCCCCCCCCCTAAATCCGCCCCCGCATCACCACAATATTTTGCATATTTCTCTCTGAACACTTAAGCTGTCTGTGCTTTTGAGAGCTTCAAGAACTCACTTTTAACCACCTTTGTAGAATAAAACAATTTTGAAGATAAAATAATCAAAGGTTTGTTCTTAATCTGTTTAAAAAGCTAATACATTCAAATTATTTCTCTCAACTCTGAAATAGATTTCGATTGAAGCTCAAACCACCGCTAACAGGGAATCAAGCTGATATATCAATCGAAAACTTTGGGAATTTATTTGTGAGAACTAGACTAGCGCTGAAAAACAAAATTTTTTCCCAGGTTCGGTGGCGCGAACAAAAATCCTAAAATCCTAAGGTTCTTCCAAATCGAGAAAAAAAGAGCAAAGAAAACGCACAAAAATGCAAGCCTACTTTGAAAATGAAGGTTTGAAAAATCGCCAAAAAAAGAACTGAAAAACAAAACGAAATAGTTAGAAATGAAAAAAACTTTTGAAGTAGTTAGAAGCAAAACTAATTTCATCAATGTTTCGTTACCTTTTTTCCAGTCTTGGCAAAAAAACGTCAAGTAAATTTAACAAGTAATAAAAAAAAATAACAAGACTGCTCGTATCAGGGCGAAGCCCTGAATGTTCCGACTGCCTTTTAAGGTTTATGGAGCAGTAATAACCTATAAAAAAAATAGAATGTAATAAAATAAAATGAAATTTTTTTTAGTTCTAATTTTTTAAATGAAAATCACCCCCCCACACGCCATATAAAGTACTAAAGGATAGATTTCGCTCCTTGTAACAAATCAATTATGGCAAATAAGCTTCTTTCAACCAATTAGGAACAATTTCTAAGACGGATTAAATCTCCGCTTACGCGTTAATAGATCGCGCGTTAATTGTCCCAAATTGGCCAAAATGGCAATCTTTAAACCCCTATAACTTTACGAAAAAAGATCACAGGTGAAATATCTTTTCAAATATAAAATCACGACAACAAAACCTTTTGAATGATATAAAAAAAATTCCGTCAAAAATGGCTAGTTAAAAAGTCGAAATTTGTCTGAAGAAAAAAAAACCCACCCTGAGCACAAATATTCCGTTACTTTCGTATCGAAAGTCGGAACAATAATAACTCCCTGAAAACTTTTAAGACTTTTTCTGAAAAAAGCAAAGGAAAAATCCTCATGGCCTATATCAGCAATTTAACTTGATCATTCATGCTTTATAAATATAATTTAATTTTGTCATTCATGCTTTATAATTTGAGCTTAGTAGTGAAATAAATGAGACCAATTACTTTGCAACAATTCAATTTGGAATGATTATTCGAGCGCCGGGAGAAAATAGGAAATAATTCAAGATTTGGATTAATTCGTTTAAAATAGCATGACTTGGACTAGCTTAATGATTACTTTCCAAATTTTAAACCGCCAAAGGTTTGCGAAAAAGGATCGCAGGACTACTGAATTTAGGACTACTGTCTCTTCAATAAGGAGAAAAATGTCACTCAAAAACAATGATTGCGATAGTCTTTGCACAAAACACTTGGCACTAAAATGCAAACAAAAACATTACCAATGCCCTTACCTGCTCCACGTTTATGATTTTGCGGCTTCTCATAAATGTGGCTACACGGTATACTACAAAAATGAGCGTAAGTTCCGATGAGGTAAAAAGCGATCTTCAAAAGTCAAACCAACACAAAAAACAAGAAGTTTGAGATTTTTCCTAACAAACTAGGGGTTTAAAAAGGAAGTGAATCCAATAAAAGCCAATAAAGTAAGTGAGTCATCGCGTATTAAGATCTGTGCTTGTTGCTTCAGGGTGAGGCAACATTCATTACCCAGCTCAGAAAAACACACAAAAAATGTATGTATATACTAACCAGGGTTCTCCGTCAAAAGCTGAGCAGCTCGTACGTTGGTCCTTTCTCTTGTGGATAATTTATCTCAACTTAATCTTTTTTTAAAAAAAAATCTTAAGCTTTGTCCACGTTCATCATTGTTGACTTGTCTTTTCACATGAATTTGTTCATGCGAGGAAACTTAAAAGCGTGGCTTTGTGCTTACCTAAGGAGTTCTATGTACTGCTCGTGTTCACGTGAGTAACAACTCGTCTCGTCGTCATTTTCAGCTAGATCAAATTTGACGAAGTAATCGCTATGGACGCTGTGAAACCCACTGTCGTGTAACCCATTCGAAGAACTATTCAAGTCCGAATCGAGACTTGAAGCAGAACTGAAATTCGAGAATTAGGGATCAACTTAAGTCTGTACACTCGTAATATATATACATTTTTAATGTATTTAATATATACAACTTATTTTTAATTTTGAAAAAAGATGCAATATTGAACGATTCTTGTAAATAATTGGGAATTTCTGTTTAACTTGATTTGCAAGAAACCAAGCCTGACTTTATTTCAAACAAGTCGAGACGGTTACTTGTTCTGTCCACAAATTACTTTTGCAAAACAAAAAATCGAAAAAACGAAGTGGTGCTATCAGACAGTTTAGGACTTAAATTTCGAAACGTACACAAAAAAATTAAAGCAACGTTCTCGAAACCGTGATTTTTTCAAAAACTTTTCAAAAAGGCTTTATAATATAGTATATCACGCAAACCTATCTGAAGATTATTTGTGGTACCTGATTTTGCGTGGAAAAAAAAACAACTACATACCCGAATAAAAAGTTCCAAAAATATTTAATTGTTGCTTCCTATCAAATGATTTACATTACTTTGAGAGCATAAATTTAAATTGATCCCTAATTTGACGCTGGAATGATTTCGCACTCAAATACTGATCTGAATGACCATTACTGTAAGGCTGCTGCTTTGAATAATTTTGATGGCCATTTTTCAACCCATTAGAAGATGAATTTAAGTTTTGTTTGTTGATAAATTGAGCTTTACTCGGCTTAGCTCTGTTTCGACTTGATGAACTTGACATCGTGTTTCCGTTGAAATGACTCTGATTGCGCAAATTAGCTGAATTCATCTGGTCGACCGATCAATTTCAAACAGAAAAAAATTCTTCGCAAAACACACTTAGGTAAATCGATGATAGCTCAAAGTAAGTCTAGATGTAATGGTTCAATACCGATAGCGACAACAGATTGCGGGATTGAATCAAATAAAGTTTTGTTTCGTTCAGGTCAATTGCTAGCAAAAGTAAAAGCACAAAATAGAACAAGGCAAATTAAGTAGATTTCTGGGTTCAAAATCCAGCCTCAAATCGGATTTGTAAATAATGAAGGGTCGGAACAATGAACTGAGGTGATGGTATTGATAGTAGATTATCGTAAGTAGTTTCGCCCAGTGTTCACAAAAAGTAAATCGAAAGGTGTGACCCGATGTAACAAAACTTTTAGTTACGTATGTTCACATCCAGAACTCATAACTTCATATCATAACAAACCTGAAATCATTGCTGGTTGAAACTATAGTTCTTTAAATCGTATTAAGTTTTGATATCTTTCAAAACGCTGCTTGATTCCAAGAAGTTGTAGTCGTTTAGACACTGAAGAATATATCTTATTTTTTATTAACATTTCAAATTATAATATCCGATAAATTTCCTCTTCGCAGCAATTTGAAAAGAAAAAATCTAACGCATTCGAAGCAAAAAAAAACTAATACGCACTAAAAAGGTCATCCATTCGGTGTGCAAAAAAGCTCACTTGGTAATAATAAAACCGGTCAATGCAGTTCCTTTTCCCCATTTTATTTCCGCTCACCAGATAAATTTTCTCTGTATTTCTCTGTAGTGCTGTATTTTTGGTTGAATTTTTATTACCTAGCTTTCAGGGCAAGACGCATTTAAAAAGAAAACGGAGGTGAAAGTTCTCAGATGTCAAGCTAATTAAGGCTTCAAAAAAATAATCAACTTTAAAAAAAACGCCCCGATGAAAAAAATGCGCTTTGCCAATTGTATGCAGCCTAGTAAAAAACAGCGTAGTAAAAAAAAACTATCGCCCTAACAAAAATTTTTTTCGGGTAGACGGAGGCTTAAATGGGAGCCAAAAACTGAATGTTAGACGTTCGGTAGCGGTCAAAAACTTCTTGTTGAAAGATAACAACAATATTTTCACGAATATGAAACCAATTGTTTATGAAGCAATAAGATTATGACAGACAAAGAATGGAGTGCGGTCTGTATTTAGACAACCGCGTATTCCTACTCGTCAGTAAGCAGACAAATACTGTATGAACCAATCAGAATCGAGATGAGAAAGTAAACTTTCGAAATAAGTAATTACTATTTATTAATTCCTTCCTTGTCTCAATTCTGATTGGTTCATACAGTATTTCTTTGCTCACTGACGAGTAGGAATACGCGGTTGTCTAAATACTACGTAACCCAAAGAATTAACTTCGTAAAACTGAGCATGTAAGCTTTATCAAAACCACGGGTGAGATTTTATGTAAAATGTATCAGATAGCAAATCCAGAAGCCGGACTAAACGAGGGAAAAATTTTGAAATTCGAAAACAAAGTTGCGCATCATCCTTGTCTTATAAAACATGCATAAACATTTTATTGACTACCAATACTGTCAAACAAAACCGAAAAAAAACAGTAGAAACGTTACTTAACATGACAAATTTTACATCTCGGAGCCGAGCGAAAAGTGGATTCCTTTAAAACATTTTAGTTAGAAAGATACTAACTAATTTATACTAATTCCTGTAGTTATAGAGAGAAGTAATCGAAAAAATAAATTATCCAGAGAGGAAAAAAAAAACAAATCAGAGATCATCACATGGAATAAATGTTCAACCTGCGCATATTTTCTGTGAAATAAGTCGGCAGCCGCGTGTTCAAATACAACTTCTTACCATCGTTCACATCCGGTATTACCAGTGTTTTAGCATGCAGATGCAGAGGTAGATGTCTGACGTGGGTTTGTTTGATGTTGAATGCTCTCAACATTTCTGCCGGTAGTTTTTGCGGGGCTATTTTGTCCATATGGTGGAATTTGTGGTCTCCTAGAATCGGACAACCTGAAACAAGGTTTGAAATAAATCAATCAGTTCAATCGTTGGCATATGTATTATATTTGGGCAGAAAAAACTAACCAAGAACTTTTCACCTAAAAAGCATGTGTACTTTTAAATTTGTATTTGTTGACTGACAAAAGACTTGCTTTGTCACAATTAGGAGCCAAAATCAGCATTCAGATAAATGCATCAACCGGTAATTAAGCGGACAATGCTAGGGTAGACACCCATTGAGGCCAAAACAAAATTATGATTAAAGAAATTAGCTTTTCAGTTTTTGTATCGCCCCACCCCAAAGCAAAATCACATGCCTGTCTCAATTCATTTCGGAAGGGTGAAACTTTTTGCTTCCAGTTTGATAGGACAAATACATCGCGCGGTAAGTATCCCAAATTGCCAATTTTCTAGATCTAAACTTAACGAAAGATTATCGCAGGTGAAATATCTTTCAGATGATGTAAAAAAACTTTCGTCAAAAATGGCTGCTTAAAAAGGAAAAATTTGTCTGTTCGAAAAGCGGAACAAAAAGGGTTTAAATTATTAAGCCCCCAAAATTCTCGAAAGGCTGGACCCTCTCCTTGCAATTGTTCTTATTTGTTTTGGGCCATCAATTTTGCCATCCATTCGACATCTACGCTATATGGTAGAGTGCCCATAAAAACCTTGAACAATTGTTAACAACAATTATAAAAGCCCTTTGAGCATATCTTTGACCTTTTATATATCATCAACTATTTTTAAACTGAGCTCAGCAAACTTCAATTCTACAAGCAGCGATCACTTAAGACAATGAAAACCGCAATTTGCAAGATATAAAAGAAAAACCTTTTCAAATTTAGAAAAAAAAATTTAAAAAAGTGAGAGCGCTTGCATATTGATTCTAATTGACTGTACCTGCTTATTGTGAAGAGCAAAACTGATTGTTCATTAATCGGCTCAAACTGACATGCAGACTGATTACTGCTACGAAAACGTTTGCTTACTGAATACGAATTGAACGAGACTTTTAGTAGACAATATTTATAAATTTATTTTAGCAAGTAGACAATATGGCTAAAATGGAAAAGATTTTCGAAAATAAAAATTAGTATCAGTCACAAGTCTACTTTGAAAAAGAACTAGAAAATCTCATCATGAAATAAAGAAAAAACCAAAATTTCATTAGAAAGCCACTAAATAATTTATAGTAAAATAACCTACCCAATCCTTCTGAGCAGTGTACTCTGGCCTGATGTTTTTTGCCAGTCAACAGATTCAATTCCAGCAGACAACTCTCTATTCCAGCTGCGACCAGACTGTATTTGGTGATAGCTTCAGACCGAGAAAATGTCCTGCAAAGTGCAATCCAAGATCCAACAAACAAAATATATTTTTTCATTTCTATAGAAAATAAGCTTTGCATGGATGTGAAAATTCTTTCAATTCAGATGCCACTTCTTAGTGGGGTAAAAAACGTCATTAGTTTCATGAAATCTCCGGCGAACATCCATAGATTCAGTGGCATGCGCAAAGTTTTCTTGGGGGCGTTTTTTCAATAAGTTTCTGGGGGCGTTTTTTCAATAACTTTCTTGGGGCGTTTTTTCAACTTTCTTGGGGCGTTTTTTCAACTTTCTTGGGGCGTTTTTTCAATAACGTTCTTGGGGCGTTTTTTCAATAACTTTCTTGGGGCGTTTTTTCAATAACTTTCTTGGGGCGTTTTTTCAATAACTTTCTTGGGGCGTTTTTTCAACTTTCTTGGGGCGTTTTTTCAACTTTCTTGGGGCGTTTTTTCAATAACTTTCTTGGCGCGTTTTTTCAATAACTTTCTTGGCGCGTTTTTTCAATAACTTTCTTGGGGCGTTTTTTCAATAACTTTCTTGGGGCGTTTTTTCAATAACTTTCTTGGGGCGTTTTTACAACCAATTTGATTTCCCGAGCTCCCTTAAACCCCATCAAGACCCTATGTTGCCAATTTTTTTTTTAAAAAAAGTCCAACAATTACGTTTTTGAGCACTTTTTGAAAAGTATTGACCAAAAAATCGTTTTTTTTTGGCGCACGCTTTCCCTTAAATTTTAGTTATTGGCGCCACAGGCTCCTTTACGAAAATTCTGGTCTACCTCAACTATTAATAGGTGTCGTTAAAACCCAAACAAGGGACCCTTTCGAAAATTTTGGCAACCAGAATTGATGGGGAGGGCGCGCTTTTCTAGATTGTTTATTTATTTATTTACCTTCGTATATTTTCCAGATCCCTCACTGGCGAAATGACTTGACCTTTTGTCTCATCAGAGTTGGGATTAATGTAAGTGGCCAATTTGGCCCTACACCTCATTCTAGTCTGTGTCTTTCCCCCATTAGAGAGGTTGTAAGAATGGAGCGGGAGACGAATCACTCCTGCAGTTTGAAAGAGGCAAAGATTTCACGATTTATTTCATCATTTAATTAAAAAAATTAGTACGCCTTAATTGTTTTTTTAAACAATTGATATTATAGCGGAAAAATGGGATTTCACGATTTATTTCATTGCTTAGGAAAAACAATTAGCACGCCTTTATTATTTTTTAAAACACAATTGTTTTTTTTTGCGCGCGGAAAAAAACTCAAGAATCAATTTTTAAAAACAGACTTAAGCAATAATCTAAGATTTTCTGGGGGAGGGGGGATCCCTCTCAAAATTAGTAAGTATCGCCTTTAGAAGATTTTTAGGGTCCGTCGGCCAAAAATGGATATCTCAAAATAGTACAAAGGGGGACCCTTTGGGTCGGCAGGGGGTTAAACCCCTGAGGGGGGGGGGGGGGGAGCGAAAAGTGTACCATTCTTTCTTTGTAATTAATAACAATTCATGTTTATACAAGTTATGACAGTATAATGAGCAGAAATCCTCGTCCCTGGTTTTAGTTTTGAAAAACAGGAAAATATCCGATAAGTTGATGAAATATCAAAACAATTAATTCCGTCGGGATATTTTATTAATTTGCAGTTATTGAAAGAACTAATGCTTACAATAAGTTGACCTTATTTAATTTATTGTTAATTCAAATTTAGTTTTAGTTTCATAGCGAAATCCTTGCCCGAGTGAGAGGCTAGTTGTGGTTTGCCCACACAAATAGCCCAGTATGTTTTCTCCACTTCGCCTTTTCTGAACTTCTCATTTAGAAAGTCAGTCGTGTGTTGATTGAGTCCAAACACAATGGCACCTAGAAAAAGGATCTCTTATACTACCCACTCTACTGCAAAGGGGGGAGGGTCGTTACTTGGTAGAAAATTGGCAGATAGTTAACCATTGATTTAGTTAATTAAAGTTGTGGTTGTACAGAGATCTGAAAAAAGATTCCGAAATATTGTTTCAAAACTTACCTTCCATTCGATGTAAATTTCGTTAATTGTTAACAAAACGTCACGAAATTATCAAACCAAAATCTATTTAAAAATCTATAAGCGAAGATCATAACTAATTGACTTGAGAAGGCAAAAACTCTGCAATGAAATTGAATCTTTGCAAAAACAAAACACAACCTGACATAAACAAAAAATGCACTAACCAAAAAGTAAATTTGCAAAACAAAACACAAACTGACATAAACAAAAAAATACACTAACCAAAAAGTAAATTTGCAAAGTTTGCTGTACAATTGGTTAATATAACTGTTCTCAAATGAGTCAGAAACGATAGAAGAAAAATATATTTTTACATCACCAAGAATAATCTAACTATTATGTAAATACTCGCTAAAACGGTAAAACACAGCTGGTTTCATTTAACGGTAAACCGCATAACTGGTTACATAGTAGGCGTTAACAAATCCAAACTTAAGCCTAACTTCGGTATAATGTCTGGATACTTAATTGGAGAATATTTGCAAGAAGTTTAGCATACGATAAGCTCTAAACGAAGAGCAAAAAGTCTGATTATGAGCGGTAGTCGGTAAAGCTGACGACGAAAAGTACCAAACAAACACACATGTGTAAATCAAAAATATCCATTAAAATCTAAAAATATTACTTTTTCACAAGTTGATGCAACATTGAACAAACGATTTTTGCGCTCGATATCTAACCAAACCATTTAAGCGATGCAAACTGTCTGAAGTCTAAAAATCTAGTCTTGGTTTTAATACTTTACCGTCAAATATTTAAAATAATAAAGTTAAATCAAAACTTGAGATCATTATGAATACCTCGAAAAGAAGAATTTGAGTCACAGCATTAGAATAACAAAAACTGAAATAAATCTAAACATCATGGACTAAAAACATCTTCAAGGCAAACCGCACGATGCATAAATGCAAATGAACATAAATAACGGTTTGCCTCTAATCCTCAACGCAACAAGGACCAACCTAACTGCCGTTAAAACAAATGGTTGAGCGCCTGTATTTTTTTTCCATTGGGAATAGAAACAAGCAATTGCGTAATCCACAGAAGTTGTTCACTTGACCGCTCAAAACCTCGATTAGGAAGCGGTATTTATCTAATAGATTCTGTAATTCTACAAAATCCGACTAAAAAGGCTTTAAAAACATCCTTAAGCGTCATGAGCTTCCAAACAACAATTTTACACGTCTTTAGTTTCTAAAAACAATTCCACGATCTCCCGACTTGAAACAATCAAATTTATTGCGTACAAGACTAAATTTTCATATTAATTTTTCGCTATTTATGCTGGATATATATTTCTGATAGAGGCGGAGATAAAACTCGCAAACACAAGCAAGAAAAGTGTGGGCTTAAAAACTGCAAGAAATTTGCAAATGTAAAAAAGCTTCAGCATTAACAAAAATTACCGCCTACGGATTTCGAACCCGCGCTCTTCAGATTTAGAGTCTAATATCTAGAACAGCAGCCACCAATAAAGCAAAAAAAAAACAAATGCTGATAAAACATATGAGCATTACAAAGAACTGAAATTGCAAATCAATTGGGGAATGAAAAAAATATATGCGCTTTTCTGTGCTTTTATTCAAACTTTTGCTTGGAACTTAAGCAGTACAAAATTTTAGCAGGATGCTTGAGAACTGAAACTGCTCATAAGTTTTGTGCTAGATAAATAATCCGAAAATATAGTCCAAACCGGACTTTTTCCAAACTCTACCTTATCATTTTTTGAAAACTATTATGGTTCAAACAAATCAGCAGACCAACTTATTCGACGCAAACAAATCAATCGTGAACAAAAGGATTTTTATACAAAAAATTGGTATGCAAAAAAATCAAGCATGTATGTATGTATGAATGTATATATAAATGCTGGTTAGGGTCAGCGATATCAACACAGAGACGAAGCTGCACTTCGCGAATTCTTGCGAGAACACGACCAAAAATCAGCTCTATGAAGAGAAATAAGAAAAAGTAGAAATAGGCCTTGAATTAGCAAAAATTCGACTCCGTGTCAGATTCGAATCTGCGACCTAGGCCACGGATGCTTGAAACCCCCAAAAACTAGCCACCAATAAGGAAACTGCATATGCTAATAAATTGCCAATTCGATGCAGCAAAAGAAGCATAAATTTCAAAAGACACAATTTTGCATGTATTAAACTGGAGAGCATAAAGCAAAATTATGTATAAATTATGCATTTCAAAAAAAAAATCGAGATACGTTAAGTTGGAAATTTTCTGTTTGTACTGCTGCTGCATAAACCAAAAATGCACCAACCGTGTTAACTTTTTACGAATCAAATGTCAAAGCACATATGACATTATACTGCTACCGCGGCCTACCGATTCAAACGTGCCACCAAAAGTAGCACTTTTATTTGCTACTTAGGTTGAAAAAAAAAACAGTTCATACTTCGCAAGTGTAAATAAGTAGCCGTAAAGATATTCCGTGGATGAAACAAAAAAGCAAAAATAATTTAAAAAAAACAATTCTATCGCATGAAGTTAACAGAAAAATTCTTTAGTTTTGATATGAAACACTTTTGTATTGACAACCTTGAAAGCTCAGGAAACGAAGCTTTGTCAAAAGAAATCCAGTGATCAACAGTTTGAAGGTTATAAAAAATAATCTCACTTAAGGTGCTTAGGGTGCCGAAACTTAAAAAAATTAAACTCTAACAATCTAACAGCAATGAACTGCAAAGCTAACGTAGAAAATACATTTTTCTCGCCCTCTATATTCCGACGATTGAAAATGGGGACGAGCTTTGGATTCGGGTGTATTTGTTTTTAATTTTTTTTTCCACGCAAAATCAGGTACCCCAAATAATCATCGGAATGGGTCGCGTAATTTCGAGCGGGTAAAGCACGCGAGCATGCTTATTATAGAATGATAAGCCATAAAACTTAAGTTTAACTCCAGTTAAACTATTTTCTTAGCACCAATTTTGGAATAAAAACATCAAAAACATCGAAATTTGGTTTTGTTTTACTCATAATTTTTCGACAAAAAACGCTTCTCTCACAACAGTTATTTGACATTAAACAAAAGTCAATTATTTTGGTTCAGCCCATTACGAAAGGCAGAATAACAACCAATTCAACACACTCAAATACGATAGATTTATACTATTTTAGATTAATAAGTCATATTGAATAGAAACTACGAGCGCCGGTTGCGGTGGTTTTTTTTTCGACGCTGCGAAATTTTTTTTGACGTTGTTCGAATCACGACTAAAAGGGCTTTAAAATAATATATATCTCGATCTAATTAAGATAATTAATTGTGGTACCTTAAAAGTGCATGAATTTTGCAAAATGTCGCAAAAAATCACCAAGAACAATAGATTCCATACATTTTCATAATGCCTGATTTTTCACCACAAATAAACAACATATGCTAGTAAAATTGCCTATGATAAAAAGTCTAAAATCTGATTAAATTGAAATATTCCAAAATTGCCACCAAATGAGCACTTTTATCTGCAACGTAGGTCAGAAAAAAAATCGTAATATTACACTACGTTTTGCTGGTGTAAAAATAAGGGCATAGCTCCTGAATCACTGAGAAAACTTCTACTCCATGGACAAACCTCATCCCAAACAATTGCATAATACCTGTTTTTATCAAACAAAAACTAGCCACCAATGAACCGCATGTGTAAAAAAAACGGATCTCACGTCTTTATAAAAGAAGATTAAAATAGGAAATACTGAAAAAATACTTGAAAATCTGACTAATTTGGAAGTCGACAAAACAAAGCCATTCAATTTTTCGTTCAAGTCGTATATATTCTCCAACTGCGCTCTAGGGAGAAAAGGATCATACCGGAGAGTTATCCCATGCTTAACGCTAGAGAGGCTAAATCGATTTGCTGTTTCTCTTTTCTGGCAAAGAATCTCTCAATTAATAATAAACGTAGAACTTTGAAGGGCTGTCCAGCAATCTAAGCAGTCCGTTTCTATTATTTTCCCACATGCCAGACTGAGTAATTAAAATGATCGGAGCTCTTTTTTTGTGACTCAAGGTCGCTTTTTTTGCGTATAGACCTTTCACGTGGTACCACTATGGCAGCCGAAATCGGTCGTCAGACTGTGGTAAGCCTGAAGCTAGAGATCGAGTGAAAGCTCGTCCTTACACGTTAGCGTTGCCATGGCAAGTAATCGAATACACGCTCTGACAATTTTAAAACGAACACCTTACCACTATGCCGAGAGCCTATTAACAGCTTTTTTGAAATATCTCTAAATATTTCCTTCCATAGGTACCAAGTAAAGAAAATCCCCCCTCTGTAGTAATGAAACGTAAATTAGAAGCGAATTTTATACCTTCTTACGATATTCTCGCCTTTCGAGAAAGCGGAAATAGAGATCCTCAACTTTTTCACCGATTCAAGTACAGAATGGTCAATTGGAAATGTATCTTCATGAATGTGCAGCTGACTTAATGATAAAGGTTTGGATTTTGGCAACTGAAATAATTATTCGCCGAGTTAGGCCTTCGGCCTGTTTCGTTGACTTCTTGGTCTCAATGTTTCGATTGTATAAGTATATTCTCACCAGACACGTCTTGGTCCAGTCTGTGAACAACTTTCATCATCTTCGGCACTTCATCGTCTCCACCTCCTCTTCCCCCTTTGATCTTGCCGGTCTTCTTCAGCAGAAACAACATCCGGTCAGCCATACTGTCCATACTAAACATATTCATCGAAATCGACGACATTTAGTCAGTCTCATCATTTTATCCCCTTTCCTCAGTTTTTGGTCTCATATGTGTAGGATATATATTATATAACACGAAGTTTTTTCTAGCTAATTAAGTGGAGAAGCATTCTTTGTTAGAAATTACTAACAAAATTTTATTGAAGAAAACTTAGCGAGAAAATATTCATTAAAGACGATAATTGTGAAAAAGCATCGCTTTTATACCAGTTGGTTCAAAATATCACACCAAAGGGGCAGTGGTATTCCAATATGATAACTGTTTAAATGAAACAAGAAAACTCCAGTTAATTCATTCAAGTTTGAATGTTTACCTGTATTTGAGACCTGCTCCATCTTGCACTGCCAACCCGGGAGGTTTATTGAATGCCACCATGTCTTTCGAACAGAACACTACGTTGTTCAGAAGAAGCTGACCTAGACCAAAAATAACAATATATTTCAATAATATCTCTAACTAATTCCCCGTCTTTCAAAATGGGGGGGATTCGTAACTAGGCAAAATTCACGTGCTTAGCCGCTGAATTGATTTCTAAATAGGTTTTAAATCCAAATGCTCAGAATTTGATATGAAGATATCGGTATTATCATTTAAGCAAAATTTGTGTTTCCATTTGATGTCTACGACAGTTATAACTAAAACGCATGCTTAAAAATCTACTACATTGCAATTGATTAATTTTTCAATGCTCCGGTTCATTTCATCTCCGTTATTATATTTCAAAACTAAGAAACACTGCAGTCGGAACCATCGGTGGCAATAATTTTTCTTTTTTTTGTAATATATCGTCTACTCTGTACATGCATCTTCCTCTTCTGTTCTCCACTGGGGCAGAAATCCCGCCCGCAAATGAGCAGTCATCATCTTATTAGTCATCCGCCCACCAAACTCATTCTTGTCCCTGTAAACATTATAACTTTCTTCCATTATCCCACATTTTGCTTCGAAAATTAACACTTTTTCTGCTGAAACTATATTGGAAAGTGAGTATTAACACAAGCTACGCTTGTGTAAAGACGTTGCAGTGGCGCGAATACGACAATTGAGAATTTTGAGGTGAGATACGCTGGTTTTTTTTATTATTTGGCATCTCTTTCTTCTTGAGTTTTGATATCCAAAATGTTCTGATTTCCAAAAAAAAGAGCTCAGTTCAACAAAAATTTAGACGTTTCAAGTAATTTATGGAAAGATTTTTCTGGCCATCTTTTGAAGCGAATAAAAAAGCAAGAACCTAGAACGTGATATGATAAAACAGAACTATTGAATTGATCTTTGCACCCTCATTGATTCACAAACGGATAGTACACTTCCAAAAATTCTTCCTGAAGGATTGATTTTGAAAAAAAAATAGGAAAAAGAACAAAAAGAGGAAATACTGAGTATGAGACAGGACCTTTTCTCCAGCTGCAGTTGGTCTCTTCTCGTGGTGACCAAATTGAGACGATTGGGGTAATGTTTCAACTTGGGTGGAAGTTGACTGGTATGTCGGACAGGCGCAACTGGTATCAGGTCTTCGTTTTGGAAGGATGTTGAGTATCTGTCCTGAACAAAATTATACAAAAATTCGAGATAGAACAATAACGTGAGAGGAAAATTCGTAACAGGCGACAATTCGTAACCGTAGATTAAGCGCGGAACACTGATTCATGCGCAGTATTCCTTTCGTGCCGCATGTAAGCGCTGCGGAGCGAAGCGGAGTAAGCGTATTCTACTTGCCAATACCTTGTTACGAATTGTCGCCCTAAACAATACACATCAAAAATTCAAATTTGTACATCTCAAAATTTCAAAAAAAAAAAAAAAACGAAACGGTGGATTTCTGGCGGGAAGGGGCGGTGGAAACCCTCTTTTCTCTACATTTCAGACTCTTTCAGAGCTACCTTCACTCATAAACTGAAATTGAAGAGGGAGAACAAATAAACTTTGTAACATAGCCAACAGACAGGTGTTAATGGACGTTAAAATAAACAGAAAAATAAACTGCCTTGTTTTTTAAAAAAATTTTCAACTTTCAAATACATGGCCTTAAATTTCTTTGAATTCATGATTGACACTTTGTTGATAAAATTAACCCAATTTGATAAAAATGAATCAATAAGTAAATTTTTTAATTTGCTAGGAAATCTGAAAATTAAGTTCCACTTTCGAAACTAGAGGTCGCTCACGTTTTTCGTGGCCTTTAATCTTTTGCCTTTCGATAATAGAGCTGACTTTCTTTAAAGCAAAGAAATGAAGTGAACTGAAAGAGAAATCAAAAGTCAAACCGCGAGAAAGTAAACTTGAGCCAACAAACTTGAGAAAAAAAATCATCAAGACCTTTATGAGAGTCTATTATACGTTCATCGACTCGTTACAAAGTGACCAAAAACAGCCTTTGTGATTCAAATCCGAAGGTCAAAATGTTTACGAAAACATGATCCTCCGCCTCTCAAGAATCATAGTCATAATAGACCTGATCCTGGTAAGACAGTTCAATATGTATATATGAATTTTTTCTCTTTGAAATAACATATGCCATGAAAAAAGAAGGCATGCTTCTAAGTTCTCGTTAAAAAAAATTGAAAATAGATAAAAGAGTGCGTGCAGGGATATTAGCCTACTGTATTAAAACACTGAACTCCTAACTTTATATACTTAAACATCCAAAACTTTTCTCAGTAGCGGCGAAAAATGATAGTTCAACTGTTATCGTCACGTTTTTTAGGCGAAGAATTCTTTCTTTTAGTGTCATAACGAAAACCCAATATGACTTTTATAACAACAAAAAATCGATACCTACTTCCTCCAATAAACAGTCCGATACATTGTTTCTTTCTGCAAGTCCACCTTCTTGACTTTTCAGCGGTGGCAACCCGGATCCCAAAGTTTGCTGGATCCGTTTTCTTCTCAGAACTAGTGTGACCCTTTTGGGGTCTCTTTACTTATTCCGCCCATATTTGTTTTAAAACACCTGACTGCCAAGTTTAACACGATATTAAACTATAATTTGGCGACGCACCTAATTCCAATTAATCAGAGTCTTACATTTTTAATTTTCTGGTTTCATTTTTTGAAATTCGCGAATTTGGACTGAATAAGAAAAAAGACCCCCCTTTTGCAGACCTGAGGGGGGCTCTGAATGCTCCACTTCGAGGAACCAAATTGTAACTTTTGGAGTACACGCTGCTCATTGTTTCAAACTCAATTACGAGTTAATCACGAAATCTGCCAATCCATAAATGGAAATCTTAAAAACAAGATACATATTACTATTTTAGTTAACAGCCGCAAAGTATATGCTAGCTATGCTAGGACATACTAGGAAACCTCTACGCTATTCCCAGCTTATGAAAGCATGTAAATTTTTAGGTTAAGTTTAAGCAGGCTTCGATTTTTTTGAAACAGCGATTAAATTAAACAGATTTTAGACTTTTTGCTCCGACTTTCGAAGAAAACGAAATATATTTTTTTACACCTTAATGATCGATTACCCAATCAAAAGAAGCCATGAAAATGAAAAACAAATGAAAACACTATAAAGACAACATCCTGACCAGAATAACAAAAGTAATTTGCCCCTTAACTTTCCTGCAATCTGATTGGCCAATTCTCTCATCCACTCCTTAAAACTCACCTAGGCGTAACAAACAACAAAAGTACTTCAGTTAATTCCATTCAACTTAAGAGGCAATCAATCATATCAGACACTTTTTTTTGACAATTCAACATCCAGTGGAAATACAATACTTATTTCCCAGTACTCTGGAAGTGGTAATTTAAAATCACTTATCCACTTAATTTGGGAAACATACCAATTAGCATACCTTGTTAAGTTGCCAAAAATTCCCTCAGGCAAAATTCAATTGTTTTGTTCCTAGTTGTAATAAAATTACTCAAAAATTTTTCCTCATTCTGGTCATTTAATTAATCACATAAACGAGTATAAATAAGATCTAATACTAAATTTATTGAAAATTTAATTAGATCTCCAAAAATCAAATATTTTATCAAATTTAGCACAAAATAATTATCAAATTTCAAACACTCTTCTCCGAAAAAAAATGGAGCGTTAAATAGTTTTCATAAACGGCTATCTTTGGACATATTTCTCCAAAACCAGTTCTTAAATAACCTTCAATAAAACCAACTTCATTATTTTTTTAAATCGACGAAACAAAAAGCGAAGTTTACAAAAAAGCGGAAAAAATGTGCGATTTTCCTGTTTCTCAGTCTAACTTTTATTTTAACCGGGAGCAAATCGAATGCATAGCCGAAGTCATGTTTCAAAGCGGCGACGTCGACAGACTTACTCGATTTTTATGGACCCTTCCAAGTACAGAACTAATACACGGGTCCGAAGTGGTTATGAAAAGCCGAGCAGTTGTCGCTTTTCACACTCGAAACTTCAGAGAGCTATACACTCTATTGGAGACTTATAGTTTCAGTTTGAAAAACCACGACTTGCTTCAAGACGTGTGGTATAAAGCTCATTATTACGAAGCCGAGAAAATACGAGGTCGAGCACTCGGCGCTGTCGATAAGTACCGAATACGGCGGAAATTTCCACTTCCTAAAACTATTTGGGACGGCGAGGAAACAATTTACTGTTTCAAAGAGAAGTCAAGAAACAAATTGAAGGAAAGCTACAAGAAAAATAAGTACCCCACACCTGAAGAGAAGAAAGCGCTGGCTAAAAACTCTGGATTGACTTTGACTCAAGTTAGCAACTGGTTTAAGAACCGCAGACAAAGAGACAGAACGCCACACAAAAGGTGAGAATGGGCTTTAAAAAATTTCAAACCATGCAAAAAAAATGCAACAACAAAAAAATTGATTCAAAATCCAACATCTAAAATCCCTTTTTGTACAGTAGATATCAATTTGAAGCTCAAGCTAGAATAATGGACAGAAAAATAGCAATAGAAGTACCAGTTGCTTGGAATAAAAATTTCAAAAATAAATGCTTTGTAAAAAAAACTTTATCGAAAACTTCTAAATGCCGTGACTAAAAAAGCCCAAAAAGTGCAACTACCGTAGAAACCGGGTTCTCCTGCCACGGATATTTAACACTGTTCTTTTTTCAGCGGTGACGGAAATAGTGACAGCGAAGATGAAATCACAATAGACCACAAGGGCAAATTCATTTCCCTCAAACATCACGCAAATAACCCACAAACAACTACAAATCAACAACATCTAAACAGCAGTATCTCATTTTCATCGACAAACATAAACAACAAATCGTCTTCACTGAATATTAATGTGAGTGAAAACGGGTCAAACACAAAACGAAACCTTAGTTCATCAAATTCAAGTCACACTTTTGGAAAAAACAAACGAAATAATGATGTAAATACTGAAAATATTCCGAAGAAAATGAGCGGAACTCACGTCAAAAACGAAACTTCATCATTCTTTGCGAGAGCCCATGCAATTTCACCATCCCGAAACTCGGATACAATATTTCTGAACACAGCCAATACTGGAGTCAATTATCCGGCAGCTCTTGGGTTGTTTGCTTCAAACGGTAATGTTACTAATTCTGGAAAACAATTGAGTGAATTTGTTCCTTCCGGGACTAATTTTGGATCAGTGCTGGCTGGAAGCGGAATGAGTCCCTATCATAACGCTGCAACTGCGGCGTATCTCCAGTCATTTGCCAAAAACTGATACTTGCAAAACTGCTGAGAAAACTATGGAGTATAATACTGAGAGCAATAAACATATTGTATATTCGATATCGCACAATTATATCACAAATTAAGTAAATCATAATAATTTATCTTTTATAATCCTTTAAAACTTATAATTCTTCTCTAAAAATCAAGTCAAGCCAACTGTAATCCAGACAGTGGCAAGGGCAGGAATTATTTGACAAAGGGGCGGAATTTGAAAAACAAAAATTTTATTAGGCCAGCGATTTCCAGTTTTTTGAGTTCTACCAAAAGGTTCTAATTAATATAAGTAGCACAAAATTTTCTTTGTCTCAAGGTCAATTATTTGAGGAATAGATTTTTTGATTGAAAAAAGCTCTTTTGAGCTGATTCGCAATATTTGGAACAAACAAAAGGTTGGACGTGCGCTCCACGAAATAAGTTTCGACCCCCTGCCAACCCAAAGGGTCCCCCTTTGGTACTTTTTAAGAAATCCATTTTTGGCCGACCGACCCTAAAATTTTTCTAAAGGCGCCAATATATACTAAGTTTGAGGAGGGAGCGCGCGCTGAAAAATCGCGATTTTTTGGTCAAAATTTTCCAAAAAGTGCTTAAAAACGCCAGAAAATTTGCGGCGCAGAAAATTTGGCCAAAACAGGGACTAAACTGTCCTTAGGGAGCGCTCGAAAAATCAATTCGGTTGACCTAGAAAAAAAGGTCGACAAAATTTTCGAACAATTTTTTGAAAATCCGCCCCCCCCCCTCGAGAAAATCCTGGATCCGCCCCTGTCTAAACCCATACTCGCTAAAGCATAGCCGTTCGGTTGCTACCAGTGTTATCAGGATTCAATGCTAGTAGTTCTGTGAAACATTCCTCATCAGATCCCAAACGGGCATGACCGTTTGGTTGCTATGCACTTAAATGGTTTTAATTTCAAATTAGTTTTTTATTTATGTTAAAATTGTTCTGCGGCGAAGAATTGTCGCTATTGTGAATGCTAAAAATGGTTTATTGCGACCAATATTTGATAGCGACCAATTTTCTCATCACGACACGCCTTATACACTAACTTATCCCCCACAACTTCTTATAAAAAAACAGGCAGCAATGAAGCTTAGGTTAAAAAAAATGAACTCGCATTATAACACAAGCGTTTCCTTGGACAATAAGCTCAAATTAATTAACTGGTGTAGAACAGTTAGCTATTCGCTGGTGGCGTGCATTTCCAACAGTGCCTAAGGATTTCTCAAGAATTGGCTCTTTTTGTTCCGACTTTCGAAGAAAGCGCAGAATATCTATACTTGGTGTGGTTTTTTTATTCCGACAATTTTTTACTTGTTAACTAAGCGTTTTTGACGATTTATTTTTTGAAACATCTGAAAGCTATTGTTGTCCTAGCCTCAAATTTAAAAAAGATATTTCACCTGTGCTCATTTTTCGTAAAGTTACGGCGTTTGAAAATTGCTAATTTGGCCATTTTAGGATAATTGAAGAGCGATATATTGCGAACTTATAGCACGCTTAAGAGGCAAATTATCGCATTCCATTGAGGCCAGCCTTTTAATCCTATTATCACAATACGAGACGCTAAACGCACCCTTAGTGTTTTACAGCGTATGGGGGATAAAACATAAAAAATCTTTTTTTTCTCAATTATTTTGTCAATTATTCGACCACAAAAAAATTCAAATTAAGTGCAGTCGGAACAATAAGGACTTTGCCTTGATATACGAGCCGTCTTCTTAACTTCGAAGGTGTTTTTTACCATTATCAGTTTCTTCAAAATACACCTCAATTGCTACAATTTGTTACTTTGTAATGACAAGGAAGATGCAGGAACCCTAATTAGTTAAGTTTACAAAGAAAAAGTTGATGGTATCAAAACATCTGTTAAAAACAAAGATTTGAGCTATTTTCACCCATAATAATTTTTTGAACATAATGTGGGTCGTTCAATCCCTGAATATCGTTCGTTAATCAGATTTAATGCAAAAACCTGCAATTTTTGAGCTGTTTTTTTACGCAATGATGAGAAATTCAAATGGGTCGCATCTTCACTGAGAATGGAATTCAAAGGTGTCTTGCATGTCCTAGAAACACAAAATACGGCAGTAAACATATTCTGGAACCTGGTTACCATGGTGTCCACAACTAGATACTGTCGTCTATGTTCATTTTTTCCGGCCTTTATTAACAATCGCTGAAAAATAATGAGTGCGTGCTTCATTTTTTCCTTGATATTCAATAATCATCAAGACTGGAAGTCTAATCAATTTAGTGAAAACTCTTCAATTCACCTCAAATTATTTTTTTAAATTGCCATTCCTAATTTGTTTAGCTGATACTGCGCGACTGCAAATCGAGAGTTCCTTAAAAAACAGCACAATGCACTATTCATGTTTTAAGACTGATATCATTCATTTTGTTTTTGTCATTGCGTAAGACGTTAATCAACAAAACTGATGAAAGTAACATTTGCCCAAAATGACGTTACATACGGTTTTCAGAAACTGTTCGATATAAGCACCCAACTTGCGAGTTTTATAGTATTATACTAACACTAGGTGTTATGGATGCAATTAAAGGTACAATTTCAAATTCAATTATTCCTCCTAAAGATTATCGGATAATCATTGCCGCCTCTTAACTAGGTGGCGGGAATTAGAAAGAACGGCCCGTTAAGTCCATTCTGCACATGCTTGTATATAGTACGGACTCCCTATTGATAAGCTTATTCTACTTTTTGACTTCAAAATAGGATTGCAAACTTTGAAAACAGCGGGTTTACTAAATCTCTATTACTGCACAAAAGAAATGGAAAACTTTGATACTAACACACACACACACAAAAAAAATATATATATTTCCGAAAAAAATCATTATTTGATCTAATTATAATTTTAATCAGATCATAAAAATGAGATGGATGGAATTACTCTCGAAGATTGTTAGGATCGGTGATAGTCACAAACTAGGAACTAGCAAAATCAGCTCAAATTTAGTTTCGATTGTCAGCATGAAAAATAGTAAATAATATTTTTTCAATGAATCATGTAACGTCTTTTGTTTTGATAGACACAAAACCGTTGACTTGCGAAAATCAGTTATAAGTTTTGGATAACAATTGCTGTGTATTACACATTTAACTTGCTAGATTGCTTTTCATTCACTCATTTATTAAATCAATTGACCATCACAATCTATAAAATCTCTCGTAATGCAAAACAATTTCTACAAACGTTTTTGTCCCCAGTATTAGTTTGGTTGTGCGTTTTAACTAACAAAATAGTTGAAGTCAACGTATAATATTTCCCAAGTATAAATTTTTTCACTTTGGCTCACAAGTAATCAAGCAATCAGATCGCGTTACAAATATATGCAAAAATATTTCAAATAATTACTAATTTTGCACTTTAGGGGTAAAAACAAGTCACTAGCTATTTTGAAAATAAGTGACTTTAATATTATTGTAATTATCCCCATAGTAGCAGTTTTTATGCTCTATTCTTTGTGACATGCAAAAATTGAGATATAGTAACAAACATATAGAATTCGACAAAACGCTATTTTTTTTTCCAAAAAATAGAAACGCTTTCTTTCTTGCAGAAAATCCTAATTACTAAATTTAAAAATGCAGTGATAAAATGTAAGGAGACAAAATCTTGATTTACAAAACTTTCCAAGACAAATTAGGCTAAATTAAGAAATTCAACTCCCAATTCTAAAATCTCTCGAGAAGTTTGACAGGAAATTGGTTCTACCATTCTTAACTTTGAGATGTTATTAGCAAATGACACCCAGTTAGTACAAGTTATAACTGAAATTATCGAGTTAAATGGGTAAAAACGACCCCCTCTCCAAGGAAATCAACTCACTGATGTGAACATGAGAATATACGAAGGGTAGATTAGAGATGTGAACAAATTTGCTAATTTTGGGTGAGAATAAACGCAACAGGGGTTGAGGTGGATATCTTATCAGATCCAGCTATTTGTAAGGTCATTAACGCATCGTTGAGTTTTGACATGCATGCCAGGGGTAACAATTTGGAAGGATTGATGAGGTAAAAAATACATGTGGAAGATAGTCATTTGAACGCAAAAAAGAAATATTTCAATTTAGTAATATTTGAATTAGTGACCAATGTTCTGATTTGGAGTAAAAAGAGAGTTTTTCAAAAAAGGAGAGTTTGCAACATCTAACTGTTTGTGGCAAAAATATGATATCAAAACAAAAAAATGTTCAAGGTAGACTTTATTGTCCAAAAAACCTTATTTGATAACTTCAGAAAATTATTTACAATTTTCGTAGAATCACACACCAATTTCCATCGTCATAATAGCTGTCAACAATTTCAACATTCGAACATGCTTCAACACACAACTGTTCCAATTCTCCTTTCAAAAACAAATGATAAAATCGATAATACGTTTCCATTTTGTTCATAATTTCTGAACTTTGTTGACTTTTCTTCACATTTTGAGGTTTTTTAGAAAACGGAACAAATAAATCTTGTTGCATAAACTCTGTTCTGTTCACGTGATAATCAATTGTTTTTTCTTCTTTTTCTTCAGTATTTTCGGTCAAATTAACACTCAATTCTTCATTTCTTTTCGTTGAAATATATTTCGATTGTTCATTATTCACTTTTTGTTCCATAGCCCAAACATAAATCAAAGCTTTTCCACCTGTATTCAATATTCTGACAATTTCACGTATTGCAGCTTTTCTTCTATCCAATGTAGATAAATGGTGAATAACTGCGATTGATATTGCATGATCACAACTGTTGTTACGTAATGGTGTTTTAAGACAATCTGACGCCATGACTTGGAAGCCCCTTGCGGCACAGATATCGATAAGGCCGAAACTGTTGTCGAGGCCGATCTAAACATTGGCATCCGGTTGTCATAAAAACCTCAAAACTTTGAAAAACCTGTAAAACTTTTAAAAACCTTCAAAACCCTCAAAACTTAGAAAAAATCAAGCAGGCTATCGCATTTCCAAGTTTTCTCAACGAATTTCCACTTTTTAACACATAATTTTCCAGTAAAACCTAAGAAATACGGGAAAAGCTTGAGCCTAAATAAAAAAAACTGTTTTATTGATGAACAAATTTTTATAGGTATTATGCTCTTTAAATAGTTTTATAAATTGCTGTAACGACTATCGAGCAATACTCAAGCAACGACAGTATTGAGCCAGAGACGAAGAACGGCAATCAAATTTCCAAAACACTCAGTTTTTCTATCGATTCTATATAATTATATCAACCTTAAAAACCTCTTGGTGCTGATGAAGATACTTTCCATTTCCACACCCCACATCAGCCAGTACTGATCCAGAAGGGACATTGTCCAGAAACTGTCTCACTCTCGGCCACATGGAGTGTCTGGTGCCACTGAACTGACTGGCTATTTCATCGTAAACCTAAACAGCGAGGATTAATGCGGGCTCGTTGTCTATGGCGCTTTTGTTTTGTCCCTAGTTCAGGTTTAGATGCTTTTTTAGTTACTTGTTGAATTTTTTCTAAGAGGTTGCAACATCCATACATAACGGGTGTGGCAGCATCCCAGAAAAAAATCAACAAGTAACTAGAAAAAGCATGTAATTCTGAACTAGGGACAAAACGAAAATTACCATTAAAAAGCCAAAATACGCTCGTTTGTGCTTTCTAACTTCAATCAAAATTCTTAGCTAAAAGAAAACGTTCACTCCTCACTGGGTCGACAATCACTAAGTTCAGCCTTGTTAGTTTCATTCATTTGCAAAATAAACGTTTTTTAGTCGATGGCTTACTTCTGTTAGTTTGAAGTAAGGAAAATTTCATTTAGAAGTATAAAACCTCAGGGGACCCACAGATATGAAACTTCTTGGTTACTGATGCGACCATTACAGGAAAAGAAGGAAGCTTGAATTTGTATCTTTTCTCTAAATCCAATTTTCCTTTTATATCAGCTGACGACTTTTGTTCAATGTCTTTTTAGGTTGAACAAAGAGGCGAAGCGCAGCTTCACATCACTTGCCATACAACACAAACATAGCATTGCAAGCTAGTAGATATAAGATGTCTCAAATTATGTTCAGTTTGAGGAAAGCATTCTAAGAAACACGACCAAAATGCAGAAATGAGCATCCAGAGTAATTTATCGAGCGGCAACTAAACTGTTATTACTTAAGTAATCGCCCGTTGAGTCAAAACAAAATTGCTGTCACAAAAATTTTCGAACAAATAAGTTTGGAAACTCGAACTATTCAGTTTTCACGAAACATCACTCTTAAAATATAGACATGAAATTTTTTTAAAATACTTTTAAAAGACGCTACATTAAAAGCCTCACAGTGATATGGCGAACGCGCAAAACACAAATGACACAAAAAACTGATTGAAGTTCAAATTAAATATAAAAACCAGAGTTCGAAGATTTACAAATCACTGAATTACGTTTAATTAGATTAAAAATTGCTCATAACAGAAAAAAAATCCCTGCTTTGATGTGTAAGCCGCCATAATAAAAAAGCAGAAAAACAAAAGATAGTAATTTTCCTAATTTTCCCGAGAAAAAAATGTCGACTTCCGTACAAATCATGAGGCCGAAAAACAAAGAAATCTTTCCATAATGTGCTCGCTAAATCTCCGTAGAATGAAGTTAAAACCAAAAAATCAATAATGAATTCGTATTCTCGGCAATACAGAATTTATCGGATATATTGATAATTTTCATTCAAGTTTTTGCTGTTTAACAAGTTCATAATTTTTTACCAATATTCAGCTCCAATAAACAAATTGGCGCGAGCTAGCCAAAAGAACCGGTCGGTAATGTCATTGAGATAAATTGCACTTTTTGGCGGTCAGCCTTAATCAAGGCTGAACCGAATTAGAACCAAAAAACAGTAAAAAACGGTCAAATGGGGCTATAGCCCCTCGGGTCTACATGTTTTAAGGTCTGCATATGGGGGGACTCGAACCCGGTTGACCGGCGTGAGAGACTTGTCTCTAGGCCGCTCGGCCAACTGTGCTTGTTTTATATGCATTTATACTCTTGTTTTATATGCATCTATACTCTTGTTTTATATGCATCTATACTCTACATTTGCTTTGCAACATCCTCCCCCCCCCCCTGAAGAAGGAAGAACCGGAGCGAGCTTAACGGTCGGCCGCGTGACTTCACGGGTTGCGGTCCTGAACAGGGCGGATCGGGCGCAACCGTCCTGTCCGTAGTTTAACTTGACGATTCGGGCGAGAGGGTAGTACCCACGCGGACTATCGGGCTCAATCACCCACACGAGATCGCCTGTTTTACGAGTGAAGTCAGAATGAGTGTGCCACTTGACACGCTTATTCAGCGAGGGAACATATTCTCGAAGCCAACAAGACCAAATCGCGTTAGCATATGACTGCGCTCGCACGTACCTTTTCTTGTGATCGAAGTGCTCCCCGGGTAAAAGCGAAGGAAAGCTTGTGGCATGTTGTCCAAGCAAAAAATGGTTTGGGGTTAACGCTTCTAACTCACGTGAATCAGTACTAACGGGAGTCATTGTCCTCGAATTCAAAGCCTGTTCAACTAAGCAGAGTGTTGTTCCTAACACCTCTTCAGTGACTCGCCTACTGCCTAGGATATCGTACAGCACGCGCTTCACGCTTCGGACGAGCCGTTCCCAGGAGCCGCCATGATGGGGTGCGCCTGGCGCGTTAAACTTCCAAGTAACACCTTTGTGTGCAAAAATGGTCGGAGCCATGCCATTCCAGCTCTTGATGCAGGCAATTAATTCCTTTTCCGCACCAACGAAAATCGTGCCGTTATCCGACCAGATTGTACTTGGCGTATCACGACGCGCAATGAACCGTTCAATGCCCATGACACAAGAACTGGTGTCCAGAGATGGTACAATCTCAAGGTGTACAGCCCTGGTGGTGAGGCAAGTAAAAGGAATTCCCCATCTTTTTTCAGTGCTTCTGCGAACCGGAACGTAAAGCGGTCCAAAGTAATCCACACCCGTATGATTGAAGGGTGGTTGCTTGTATCCGAGACGTTCGACAGGTAAATCGGACATAATTGGCTGGATGGTGCTTGCTTTGCGTTTACGGCACGTCACATATTGATTTTCGATAGACCGAAGTAGTCGACGCAACCCAAGCATTGCATATTTCATATTGAAAACGGAGCGCATGTAATCTAATCCTTGATGAAAATGCTTATGGTGGAGGCTGCGGGCCAACAAACGAACTAGGGTATGTCGGGCGTCGAGTATTATCGGATGCTTCGTATCAAACTCGGTATTCACTAAGCTCACAATCTGTCCGGTGGAACGAATGATTCCAGCGGGACCGATAAACGGCGAGTATGTGGCAATTTTACTACTATTCTTAATAGGTTTTCCAGCGGTGAGTGTTTTTAACTCAACGGGGAAGGATTCCAGCTGAGCAAGATGAATCAGTTTGCTTTCTGCAATATCAAGTTCAGTGGGGTCGGTGATTCGTAAGTCCTTGCCACGAAAATGCTTCTGTGAAGGCAACATCCTCAACAAAAAAGCGACTACTCGTTTATATCTTGTAAAGGAACTGAACATTTCCCAATATAACCCGTGTTCGGCGTGTTTGATGGATGTGACATCGGTGACGAAGGAAGATGATGTCTCCAAGCAATTATCAACATCACAAGAAGGACCCTTCAAACTAATTTTATTGATTACACGTTCGTCGGGTATAAACGGCCAAACAGTAGTCCTGAGAATGCTCGGACCAATAACCCAGCTGCTATCCTTGAGGGCTTCCGAAGAAATCCCCCGCGTACCGGTATCAGCTGGATTATCGCTGCTCAGAACATGGTGCCACTCATCAATAGTGGTCGATTGGAGGATTTCGCCGACACGATTGGCGACGAATACAGGTAATTTTTCAGTGGAGTTTAGCCACTGCAAAACTGTTGTACTATCTGTCCACATGTAGACATGATTAATAGAGACGGTAAGGGCGGCCAGTATATCATCTTTTAGTCGTGTGGCGAGCAGAGCAGAATATGAAGGATATTTGAGTTTTATGCGAGCTCGCGAGTCGCGCACGCAAAAATCCAACAGCACAGAAAACGTCCTGCGAGCTATCACCGAACATGTGGAGCTCAATTTGATCAACAGGCTCTGTGAAGTAACAACGGGGAATAGTCAATTGCCCTAAGAGAGGGAGACCGGAGTGCCACTCGAGAAACTTATCTCTTATGTCTTCTGGCAATTCGTCGTCCCAACTTTGAGCACTGATTTTCCAAATATCTTTAAGTAAAAGACGGGCCCTAACTGTGTATGGAGCTACTAACCCAACAGGGTCAAACACAGAAGAGACGAAACTCAAGACGGTTCGTTGAGTTATTGCTTAATCGAGAGGACGATCCACGCCTCTGCTAACAACCAATGTGTCTTTTACATGGTCCCACTTAAGACCTAAGACGTGTGATGATTGTTCGGCACCGTTACAAATTTACTTGATGGGTGAAGATGAGGTTTCGGATTCATCGGGGTTCATTGCTGAAGTGATTTCATCAGCATTACTGACAAATTTAGTCAAATTAAATCCTCCCAATTTTAGAAATGAAACCAAATCGCGACTAATTTTAATTGCATGGGTAACGTTCTCGAATGAATCCAAGTAATCGTCCACGTAAAATTTTTCATTTATGACTGAGGCGGCCTCAGGGTGTGTGGAAATATTATCAGTTGCTGTTTTTCGCAACGCGAAATTTTCGCACGTAGGCGAATCCCGTGCGCCGAATATATGGCGAGTTTACTGATGAACTACCACATCGGAAGTAGTATCCTCCCGCCACAAAAAACGGAGCGAAATTTGATCGCGGGCAAGGACTCCTACCTGGAGGAACATACCCTCTATATCCGCGGAGACGGCATACTTGTGTTGACGGAATCGCAAAAGTACAAAAATTAAATTTAGGAGTAGGTCCGGACCCACCATTAAGGACTTATTTAAGGATGTGCCGTGAAACTTAGAAGCGCAGCTCAGGGTCTTTACTTAACCTTCTCTCCAATGTTTTACATTGGGCGAGTGACGAGTAATAGTTGTTTGGTAGACTGACATTACTATCAATCCAAAGCATAGGCACAATGTATCTTTCGCCATTGTGAACGGTTTCAGAAATTAGGATGGATAAAGCATGTTTATCCGCGGCGGAACGGGCATCGACTTGTTTGAAAACACCATACGATTCCAACTCGTACCAGGATTTTATCTGGTCGGTCAGAGAAGAATCTTCAACAACACACTTGAAACACTAAGAAGTAGAATTAACGGACGGCGGCAACGGACCACTTATGACCCAAGCTATCTGTAGGCGAACGGAACACGGTGAGTTTTTATCATCTCCCAAGATGAACTCAATGGGTTTAACGGCGTGGTAGTAGTCTTGTCCGATAATAACTTCAAC